AAGGGAATGTATCCCCAGATTAGTTTCCAGCTATTTGGAGAAGAAATTCAATTCAGACTTGCTGATCACACACACGCTGCCATTCGCTGAAGTGAACAAGGGATTTGAGTTGTTACGTGCCGGAAAAAGGTGAGACCCTGACCAGCAGGAACGAGGTACAGCAAACCTCAACACCTCCTCCTAGAATTCCAGCAGGCAGAGCAGGCAACACTGGCTTCCCAAAGAGCACCTGAGCCTTTTGAGGAAGCAGGGCCTCACAGCTGAGTGGTGCCAAGAGCTGCCATAGCGCAGAGGGAAGAGCCCATGTGCAGCACAGGGAACCCTCCTGCTCATGGCTCAGCTCAGCACAGATCCTGTGGCCTTATTCCCTGAGGGCTCCCCTCAGCAGGGATTTGAAGGCTGCCCCACTGCTGCATGTCTCATGCAGCTCAGTCAGGAAGAGGCTGGATGATGACAAAGAAGGGGCCAGACCCCAGGCACACCTGCCTGCCCCACTGCCTGCTCCTGAGCTGCAGCAAACCTTCCCTTCCCTTCCACTTTTCAGTATCCGCACTGTCCTGCTCTTCTGAAGGACACAGCCAAGGAAGCCCAGCAGAGGGACCAGCACAGCAGATGCTCTCCTGGCCCTGGCACCTTCTCAAGGTGAACAAGGAATTCACCTGTGCTGATGCCACTGCTGCTCCTGCTGTGCCTGGACAGGACATAGAAGGATGTCTCTCCCAAGAAAACACTTTTACTAATAAAGGTTTTTAAACCAACTCATCTGACACAGTGCACTCAATCAACAGAGATGCCAGGGCCTTGGGACAACTGGCTGATGGATCAGGAGCACAGCTAGTGATTTCCTTGACCTGTCTAAAACAAGGTTTTATACTGATAGGAATAGGCAGGTCCATCTGGTTAATGTATGGCTCTGAGGGATGTGTAAGCAAAAAAATATTGGGTTTTTTGACTGTGGGGTGAACTATTCAACACCTGATTTACTGACACCTGACAGGATGAGCCTTTCTCAGAGGGGAAAAGGAATTTTAGCACAGGAGCTAGCAGAGCTCTATGATAGAGCTTTAAACTGGAAATGGGAATTGGAAAATACCAGGCTGGTCAGTGACGAGCAGTGCAATTGTGCGCCAAAACATGAGGAAAGGAGCACTAATGGGATCCCTCAATCTGCTCCACAAGTGTTGGCTACCAAGTAGCACATGTGGAAATGTTTCTGTACCAATGAATGCAGCTTGAGGAACAACCAATGATGACCTCAAAAGTTTCAGCCAGTGCCAGAGGCTCGATATCATTGGCATAGGTGAAACTGGTGGGACAAGCTCTGTGACTGGAGTGCCCTGTTGGATGGTTACAGACTCTTTGGGAGGGAAAGGCAGGGCAGAAGAGACAGGGGGGTGGCACTGTATGTAATAGAAGGGTTGGAATGTATGCAGCTGTAATGGCACAGTTAAGAGCCTCTGGGTGAGAATCAAGGAGCAAACAAAAAATGTGGATGTCACCATGGGTGTCTACTGTAGACCTATCAATTTGCTCAGTACTATTCTCTCCTAAGTTTTCTTTCTTTGATTCATATTCATCCTCTTTAGATCCTGATCTTAGTTTGGAGGCCTTTTTCCTGGACTAGTTTTAATCTTGGAACAACCTCAGAGAAATTGCCACTCTGTAACGGGGAAGAAACATTACATGTGCATTTATGTCCCATCGCATATAAACGTGGGTGCTTGAGGTGCTATACCTAGGCTATCAGCAATCATAAAGTACAATTCCTCCTTACATTGCATAGTGAAATTCTGTAGGACCGACTATGATCACAGCACGTCTGACAAAGGAATTCATTCTGAGCACAAAAAAAAAATAAATATAAAAGGCAAGGCTATGATCCTAATGGGTCTCCCCCAAGTTAAGATATTCCATCATTACAACAGCATTTTGAGTCCATACAATAGCATGGACTCAAAATCAGCAATTGCTGGAAGAATCCTGTTCTCTGTTTTAACATTTTTTTTCCCGCACGCATTCTCCTTCACTAGGGTGAACAGAATCAATAATTGTTCATTTTAATAGACCTTTATCAATATTTTTTTAATATCTCTTCTATGTACAATATATCAGGGTGGATCTAACTTCCACTTTCCTTACCTCATTTGCCTCATTCCACTATCATTTTGTACAAGGTCCACAATATTTCTGTTCTAATGGAAATTAAAGCATCAGGGCATCTTATGGAATAGTGAACTATCAATACTGCTAACAAATGCAAAACCATATTATCTGCTAGGATATTATCTAGTTTGTCCTTCACAGTAGAATGCAAAAATTGTCTCTGAAACGGGAGCCCAGTTCCACTGTGGACAGAAATGGAATGCTGAGTCATTAATAAAGGCACTAATATTGGGCTCTGACTTTTAATTAAAAATTACTGAAGTTTGCTGCACGTAGCAGTAAAGATAAGATTTGTACTTAGCCCTCCTAAGTGCATTTCAGTGTCTATTCCACAGAGATTTCTGTCATATATTCTTCCATCTTTCCACATCTTTGATACAGACAGCAAACAACCAGAACATAAAGAGGACAACAGAAAACTGACTACTACCAAGATGAAGACAAACACCTTGATGTCTATGCCTGTGTGTACTAACATCTGACCTCACAGATCAGCTATTAAAGCTTATAAAATACATAAATATATACAGCAAGTCAGGGCAGCACTTACTGTAGAATGCAGATAACACAGGATCTGCCATTAAAAGGTTAATCATTAAATCCATGCCTGCTGACATACAAGTTTGATCTTATTTTCCCTCCATTACCTGGATAAGAAGGAAACCACAACAACAACAACCACCTGCTGTCTGAAATACACACAAAAAGCTGCACAGCAACAGGATCTCAGTATCAACTCCCTGCAATGATTACCTTACATTTCAAATGTTTTGCAGAGCTGCCAGCTCCCCATGGCACTTTACAACTGCAAGCAGGGAAGACAGAAATTCTCAGACCTATGTTGAATTCACATCAGTGGAGGGTTTGCAGGTTTGGGAGACTAGAGCATCACAGGGATGTTTTAAGGAAAAATATCAGTACACATTTGAAAGATCTTTTTACAACCATGGTGTAGGTTTTACACTCAACAGCAGACATTAGACAAGTCTTAAGAGCCAGCAAATGGCAGCACAAGTAGCAGATTTATGTCCTTATGTGTGAGATTAAATTATGAGCCATATGTATGGAATGCTATCTAGGAAGCAGGTGAATGATTTTATTTTCTCTTCATTCTCAGCCCTCTACAGGACTTTGATATTTGTTGGTTTCAGCTTCAAACACTGAAGGATATTAGGAAGA